ACTGCTTTTGGTAATAGGGACATTTTAGCAATATTAAGTTTTCCAATCAATGAATACAGAACGTCTTTCCATTTATGTAGATCTTCATTGATTTCTTTCGTCAATAATGTGTAGTCTTCAGCGTACAAATCTTTCACCTCCTTGGTTAAAGTTATTTCTAAGTATTTTATTTTCAATATTATTGTAAATATGATTGTTAATTAATTTCACTTTTGGATAGTTCGTTGTTAGTATATAGAAATGCAACTAATTTTATTATGTTGATTTTATCTTCTGCAACTTTATTGAATTTGTTTATTAGGTCTAACAGTTTCTGTGCGTGTGTGTGGGGGAGATCTTTAGAGTGTTCTAAGCGTAGATCACATCATTTGTAAATAGAAATAATTTTACTTCTTGCTTCTTAACTTTTTTAAAAAAAATTTTAAATAATTACTTTATTTCAATTATAGTTGGCATACAATATATTAGTTTTATGTGTATACAATATAATGATTAGATGTTTATATAACTTATGAAGTCATCACCCTGATAAAGCTAGTACCTATCTGACACCATATATAGTTATTACAATATTATTGATTATATTCCTTATGCTTTACTTTACATCCTCATGTCAATTTTGTATCTACCAATTTGTACTTAATCCCGTCCTCTCTTTCACTCACCCCAGCCCCATTCTCACCCAGCAACCCTCAATATATTCTCTGTATCTGAGTTTATTTCTGTTCTTTGTTTATTTTATTCCTTAGATTGCACATGTAAATGAAATCAAATGGCATTTGTATTTCTCTGTCTGACTTACTCCTCTCAGCATAATACCCTCTAGGTTCATGCATGTTGCAGATGGCAAGATTTCATTCTTTCTATGGCTGAGTAATATTCCATTGTATATATGTACCATCTCTTCATTCATCCATTGAAGAACACTTAGTTTGTTTTCATCTATACACACACACACACATACATATACATATTTACACTGTGTGTTCACCTCCTAAAGTTAGATTTCTTTCTGTCACCACATATTTGACCCCCTTTACCCCACCTATCTCCCCCCTCCCCCATCCCTTACCCTCTGGTAACCACTAGTCTACAGTCCATGTCCATGAGTCTCTATTTGCTTGTCCTGACCATGTTTAAGTTGTTTAAGCCTTTGATCCATTTTGAGTTGATTTTTCTGAGTGGTGTAGTATGTTCTGCATGTGTTTATCCAGTTTTCCCAACACCATTTCTTGAAGAGAATATCCTATGCTCATTGGATAATCTTGACTTGTTGAATATTAGTTGATCATATATATACAGGGATTTAATCCTGGGCTCTCTATTCTGTTCTATTGCTGTATGTCTATTTTTATGCAAGCTCAATATTATTATTTTTTAAATATTATAATTTTGTAGTTTGAAATTAGAAAGTATAATACTTCTGGATTTTTTTTTCTCTTTTAGGATTGTTTTGGCTATTTGGAGTTTTTGCAAAATTTCATGAACATTTTAGATATGTTTTCTATTTCTTTGAATATTACCATTTGCATTTTGATGGAAATTGTGTTAATCTATAGATGGGTTTGGGTAGTATGGACATTTTAACAATATTAATTCTTCCACTCTATGAACATAGAATAGCTTTCCATTTATTTGTGTTTTCTTTGATTTTCTTCAGCAAGGTCTTGTAGTTTTTGTTGTACAGATCTTTTACTTCCTTGGTTAAATACATCCTTTTTTTGTTTTTCATGTTGTCTTGAATGAGGTCATTTTGTAAATATTTTGTTATTAGTGTATAAGAATGCAACTGATTTCTGTATGTCGATTTATATACTACAACTTTGCTAAAAGAGTTGATTATGATGGACAGAATGGAGAGGGATTGGGAGGCTGGGAGAATGGGGTGAAGGGTTAAAGAAGTACAAATTAGTAGTTGATAATTGGACATAAAGAACATGGCGGAAGAAATGCAGTTAGCATTAATATGATAGCTAAGTGGAGGGCCAGGGGAAGGAGGGAGCAATTGGGGAATAGTTTTATGAACATTATAGATGTCTAACCAATGTATTGTATATTTGAAACTAATTTAAATAAATACATTTATTTTAAAAAGAGTTGATTATTCCTAAGAGTATTTGTTGAATCTTTAGGATATTCTATATTCAAAATTACATCATCTGCAAACAAAGACAGTTTTACTTCTTCCTTTCTGATTTGAATGTCTTTTCATTTTTTGTGTCTTGCCTAATTGCTCTAGCTAGGACTTTCAGTACTATATTGAAGAGTGGTGAATTAGTATCCTTGTCTTGTTCCTGATCTTATTGGAAAAGCTTTCAATTTTTTACTATTGAGTATAGTACTAGCTGTGGTTTATCATATATGACCTTTATTATTCTGAGGTATATTCTTTATATACCCAATCTGTCAAAGATTTTTGTAATGAAAGATTATTGTATTTTCTCTAATTATTTTTATGCATATATTAAGATGATCATGTTATTTTTATCTTTTATTTTATGAAGATGATGGATTACATTTATCGATTTGCCTATGTTGAAACATCCTGGCATCCCAGAGATAAATTGCTCTTGGTCATGGTATATGATATTATTATATGTTCTTGAATTCAGTTTTCTAATATTTTGTCAAGAAATTTTGTATCTATATTTACCGGGGTATTGATCTATAGCTTTGTTTTATTTTATTTATTTATTTTCTAATTAGAATTGACATTCAATATTGTTTTATATTAGTTTCAGGTATACAGAATAGTGGTTAGACATTTATATGATTTACCAAGTGATCTTCCTGATTAGTCTAGACTCACCTGGCACTCACTACACATAATAATTTCAATATTATTAACTATATTTCTTATGCTGTGCTTCACATCCATGTGACTGTTTTGTAACTATCAATTTTATTTTCTTGCAGTGTCCTTATTTGGCTTTGATATCAGGGTTATGCTGGCTTTGTAGAATGAATTTGGAAGTGTTCTCTCCTCTTCAATTTTACAAGAGTTTGAGAACAATTGGCATTCATTTTATTTTAAGTGTTTGGTAGAATTTGCCACTGAAGGCTTCTGGTTCTGGATTTTTCTGTGTTGGGAGATTTTTGATTACTGATTCAATCTCTGTACTCATTATTGGTCTGTTCAGATTTTTTTATTTCTTTTGGTTCAGTCTTGGTACATTGTGCATTTGTAGAAATTTATCTATTTTTTTTTTAGGTATCTAATGTGTTGGCATATAATTGTTATAGTAATCTCTGATGACTATTTCTGTAGTATCAGTTGTAATGTCTCCTCTTTTGTTACTCATTTTATTGGATTCTTCTCTTTTTCTTCTCAATTTTGTATCTTTAGTCTTGTCAATTTTACTTATCTTTTTGTAACACCAGCTTTTAGTTTTATTAATCCTTCTATTTTTTTTCTAGTCTCTATTTCTTTCATTTCCACTCTGATCTTTACTGTTTTCTTTTTTCTGCTAACTTTGGTCTTCTCTTGTTCTTTTCCTAGTTCTTTTTTTCTTTTTTTGATGTATAACTAAAAGCTACTCTGAACTGAGGAACTTTTAAAAATAATTTGAATTATGTGAATTACATCAGCCTTCATGCTTTATAAAAGTAATTATCATTCCATATGAGATATTAAGTATTCATGTTATAGACAATGACTGATGACCCCAAGGATATACAGATACCTTGCTATAACTTCTGTCTTCTGGGAATGTCATGATCCATGGGTTTGGGAGTATTGGATTAGATGACACATTCTTAAGTTTATGAGATTTAAAATATCACATCATTAGTCACCAAATCTGGAAGACAAATACAGGGAGCAATAATACATCACTCCATATCACAAAGGGAGAAGTAATTAAATTTCATTGTATCTTACAAGTTACCTTGAATTAGGTAACTGAAGAGATTTCTATTATTTAGTTGACTTCCAGAAAACTAAAAACTTGAAACCAAAGTTGTGCCTTTTTCTCAACAGCAGGTGTATATACAGCTTGATAGTTCCTCATTTTTATTAGGCTCACTCTGGATTTCATCCTTTTTGTTTCATTTTTGTTTTTTTTCTAACTTTTAATTTACATTTTACACAGCTGTAAACCATTTTAAACACTTTGGAAATTAGATGGGATATAAATGACTTATACTAAAAAATTTCTTATGGGTACTCAAACATTGTTTTAAAAAATTTTAATAACATTGACAATATCTCGAATTTCAAAGATTTAGAAAGTATATTTTAGCATTTTCAGCATATAGAGTAGAAGCAACCAAATAAAAGTCATGACTTTGGAAATGTAGCCTACCCATGCACAGACATAGGTGTTCTACTTGTGCTTTATTTTGTAATCTCTTAATTTACTTTAAACTGTGATTCAAACATGGGATATGTACTTTTCCTTTAGTATAAAATATTTTTGCAATTTTTTTTTTCATTTATCAACTTGAAATTTACTCCCAGTCCTTTTTTCTCTTGTGGGTTTGGATACCCCCAAAACTACATGTCCCAAGTTCAAGACCAACATCCACACTGGCTGGAAATCTGCTCCCTTGTTGTTTTTGAGACCTGAACTACAGTAGAATGCCATAGGTTAAAGTATGATATGGAAAGGAAAAGGGTATTCAGAGACTGCAAAATAAAATATTTTTAGATTGAAAACAAAATCACCCGAAAGGTGGGTTACATTCCAGCAAATCACAAAATGGTTGAATATATCATTTAAAAACATTAAATTATTGCCAAGTTGGTGGAAATTCATTAGTGGTTTTCTTAAAACCCTGAACTTTATCTCAAAGTATTTGTATATCTGATTTCTGGGAGAATCATTTATATCAGGTCTGTGAATCATCAAGGTGGATGGAAATCCTATGTCACACACTCTGTATACCTGGAACTGTTTTCCCTTCCTCAGAATTAATTTTAGGTCTCTGCCTTTTAAGATATTGATTGGTTGTTTTCCTCATGGGAATGAATAGGAAACATGTTTTCTCTTATGTCTCAGGTGCCTCACCATACCCAGGAGTGCAAATAGATGAAGACTTCTGCCGTCAGCTTAAGGAGGGTAAGAGAATGAAATTTCCTGAATATTCCACTCCTGAAATGTGAGTTATTCCCCAGGCTACGTGTCATCAGACTAAATTTGGATAAAAAGGTCAAAGTAAGCATCACAGATTACAGACAATAATACACAAAATCTTGTTCAGTGCCAAGGCACTTATTTTGCCTTCACAAGTGTACAGGCATACCTCAGAGATATTGCAGGTTAAGTTCCAAACCCTCACAATAAAGCCAATTTTGCAGTAATGCAAATTACAAAACTTTTTTTGGTTTCTCAGTGCATATAAAAGTTATGTTTACATTATACTGTAGGATATTAAGTGTGTGGTAACATTATATCTAAAACTGCAATGTATTATAAATATATCAGATATGTTATTTATTTATATATCTAATAATAACATATTAAAATATATTATTGCTAAAAAATGCTAACCATTATCTGAGACTCCAGCAAGGTTTAATCTTTTTCTGGTGGAGGGTCTTGCCTCAATCTTGGTGAAAATACAATATCTGTGAAGTACAATAAAGCAAAGCACAATAAACTGAAGTATGTCTGTCATAACTTAAAGATGGTCTAAGAACCTAGAAATACAAATTTCATATTAAAATGCATATACTGACATTTTTCAGCAAATTCATAAGTTGTAGAAGGTGTTCATGTATTAGGTGTAATCATGATACTGTCTAGGTCACTTCTAGCCTTAGATTCTATACTTATATGTTTATGTTTCAAAACATCAAATAAAAATTACCACCAAGAAGCTTGAGTTTCCAGAACAGCCTGTCTTGGGCTTCTGACAGAGATGTGGCCATACACGTTACACCAAACTGAACCCATGTTTTTGTGATCTCTTACTGGATCAATAAATGAATCTGCACAATTACAACAGATACTAAAAGCAGATTTAAAGACTTGTCATATCACAGAGATATAGAGATAAGTTAATGATTTTTAATTGTTTTAATAAACAGCAATTTCAGCATGAAACTGCATTTACTACTTAGTTGATGGCTCATTGGCCAAAGTCATTGGAAAGTACAGTCTGGGATTCTAGCATTGCCATTTAAAATCTAAAAATGATGACATTTTATACCATTTTTCAATGAAAGATGTATAAAGATATTTGAAGATAAAACTCCAATTATATAATCTTCTAGATCATGAGGAGAGCCCAAAATCCAAGAGAATTATTTGAAGCAATTTGGCCTCATGACAAATGCAGCAGTCCCCCCGCCATTTACATAATCTTTGTAATTCCAAAGCAATTCGATAGCTAACCTAAATGCTAGATTGCTCTCCTTAAGACTTTCTAAATATTTAAGATTATAAATGGACTAATTATGACTGGTTATGTGCATAAATCTATGCCTATCAACTCAGAACAAGTGGGAATGAAGGAGACATAGGGATAATGGACAGTTATAGACCTGGCAGGCTTTTCAGAAACATAATTCTTAGGCCGTAGCAGAGAATATAGCTTGGGATAATTGTGAAGGTATAATTTGAGGTGTAATCCATAGGAAAAGTTGAAAAAGCAATGGGAATGGGGAATGGAGATTTTCTTGGCATTTTTTTCAATCTTCAGCTACCAGACTATGCTTGAATGCTGGCACAGTGTGAGCACCTTGAGACCTAACTTCTCTGAACTGGTCAGGCGTCTTGGAGATCTCCTTCAGGCCAGTGTTCAACAGGTATTCATTACTTAGTTTATTCTATCATTCAGTGTCTTTTTTTTTTTTTTGTATTACAAAACTCGTTTTTATTTATGGTTCCCAGTAAAAGGTCTCAGGATCACCAGAAGTCCCCAGAACATACTTTGATAACTGATGATATAGATAAATTGCTAATATAAGTGTCTTTTTAATGTTGTCTGCTAAATCACAGTTCTTGGAGCTGTAAGCAGTGCAATTTTGGACTATGCCCATGTTCAGTCCTCAGAGAGCTCATAATCTAATCTGGGGAGTGTAAAGGAAATAATTATAATATGATAAGAAAAGTGAAGTAGAAAAAGAGAAAATAATAAGCCCCTGAAAAGGGTATATGTGAGACATCAGAGACAAAGTCAGTTCTTCATTAAAATATTTATTGAGCATCTAGTCTGTGCCACATATTGCACTGGGCACTTTTGATGTAAAGATAAAAAGACATGAATTCTGATCTCAAAGAATACTCAAGTAAGAAAACCAAGGCTTGTAGTAGAGTATGATGAGTACCAAGAGAAAGGGAAACAAGGGTTTTGAGGAAGAGCAGGAGCTAGACTATTGGAAAAGTCCAAGAAGAAAATGGACTACTGTATATACATAACTATTCTTTACATATTCGTAATGGTAACCACACAACAAAGATTCAGAACTAAAGTATATAACATAAAACAAGAAGGATCAGAGAGAAAATCCACAAAACCCAACAAAAATAAATTTAAAAAAAAGACACACAAGGACAAAGAAGCAATGAAAACACCAAGCAACCAGAAAGCAAAACACAAAATGGCTATAGGTAAACCTCATATTTCAATAATCACCTTAAATGTAAATGGAATGAACTAACAATAAAAATGCACAGAGACGCAGATTAAATCAGAAAACAAAACCCAATCATATGCTGCCTCCAGGAGACACATCTCAGTTCCAAAGACAAATATAAAATCAAAGTAAAGGGTAGAAAATAATATTTCAAGCAAATGGCATTCAGAGAAAAGTGGGAGTAGCGGTACTAATATCGGACAAAATAGACTTCAAAACAAAAAAGGAAAAGAGACACTGAAGGACACTTCATAATGATAAAAGAAATCATGCACCAAGAAGATGTAACACTTATTAATATCTATACTCTGAATCAGAGAGTCTCGAAATATATAAAGCAATTACTAACAGAACAAAAGGAAGAAAAGACCAAATCACTATTTTACTAGGGGACCTAAATACCCCATCGTCGGATATGGACAGATCATCGAAACAGAAAACCAATAAGGAAATAAGATCCTTAAATGACACATTAGACCAACTGGACATAATGAACATATACAGAGCCTTCAATCCCAAAACAGCTGCTTATATATTCTTCTCTAATGCATATGGAACATTCTCAAGGATTGACCACTACTGAGACACAGAGATAGCTGCAACAAATATAAGAGGGTTGAAATCATACCAATCATATTCTCTGATCATAATACTTGGAAGCTGGAGATAAAATGTAAAAAGAAACTTGGAAGAACCACAAATACATGGAAATTAAACAACATGCTACTGAAGAATAACTAGGTCAGAGAGTTTTGGGACATAGCAAACTCGGTAATAAGAGGAAAGTTTATATCATTATAGACGTATCTCAAAAAAATAATAATAATAACGAGCCTAAATAAACAGCCTAACACTTCATCTTTAAATACTAGAAAAAGAAGAACAAACGAAGCCTAAAATAAGAAGAAGGAAAGAAACAATCAATATTAAAGCAGAAATAAATGAAATTAAAAACAATGACAACAACAACAAAACAAAAATAATAGAAAAAATCATTCAACAAAGAGCTGATTCCTTGAGAAGGTTAATAAAATTGACAAGCCCCTGGCTAGATTACACTAAAGAAAAAAGAGAAAGGACACAACAACATCAGGCATGAAAGAGGAGAAATTATAACAGACACCACAGAAATACAAAAGATCATACAAGAATAATGTTAAAAAGTATGTAACACCAAATTTAATAACCTAGAAGAAATGCACAAATACTTAGAAAGATATAACCTTCCTAGATTGAATCAAGTAGAACTGGAAAATCTAAATAGACTGATCAGCAGAATGGAAATAGAAACGGTCACCAAAAATCTACCAAAAAGTAAAAGTCCAGGGTCAGATGGCTTCACCAGTGAATTCTACCAGCATTCAAAGAAGATTTAATACATATTCTCCTAAAATTCTTCCAAAATATCGAAAAGAGGCAATACTTCCCAACTCATTAAAGAATACTATGAAAAAGTATATAGCACCAAATTTAATAACCTAGGAGAAATGGACCAGTACTTAGAAAAATACAATCTTCCTAGACTGAATCAACAAGAACTGGAAAATCTAAATAGACCGATCAGCAGTATGGAAATTGAAACAATCATCAAAAACCTACCAAAAAGTAAACGTCCAGGACCAGATGGCTTCACCAGTGAATTCCGCCAAACATTCAAAGAAAATTTAATACCTATTCTCCTCAAACTCTTCGAAAAAATCAGAGAGGAGGCAATACTTCCCAACTCATTTTTGAGGCTAATATTACTGTGATACCAAAGCCTGGTAAAGATAACAAAACAAAAGAAAACTACAGACCAATATCTCTCATGAACACAGATGCAAAAATCCTAAATAAGATACTAGGGAACCGAATACAGCAACATATTAAAAGGATTATACACCATAACCAAGTGGGCTTCATCCCAGAGGCAAAGGGATGGTTCAACATACCCAAATCGATTAATGTGATATACGACATAAACAAATTAAAAAAATAAGAATCATATGATATCAATAGATGCAGAAAAACCCTTCAACAAGATACAGCTTCCAGTTATGATCAAAACACTTAACAAAATTGTTATAGAAGGAAAGTACCTTAACATAATAAAGGCCACATAGGACAAACCCTCAGCCAACATTATACTCTATGGTGAAAAACTAAAAACCTTCCATCTTGATCAGGAACAAGACAAGTCTGTCCACTATCGCTACTGTTATTCAATATAACACTAGAGGTCCTAGTGAGTGCAATCAGGCAAGAGAAAAATATAAAAGGCATCCAAAAAGGAAATGAAGAAGTCGTGTTGGCTAGATGGAGGGGAGGGGAGGGATGAAGCAATTGGGGGGATCGTTTTATGAACTATATAGATGTCTAAACAACGTACTGTATACTCGAAAGTAATTCAAATAAATTAATCTAAAAAACAGGAGTAAAAAATGGTAACAACTACATTCCTATCAGCAAGTACCTCAAATAGAAAAGAATTAAGTGCTCTAAATAAAAGATAAAGTGGATGAATGGAAAGGAAATCAAGACCCCTAAATGTTGCCTATAAGAGACTCACTTCATATTAAAAGACAAACACAGAGTAAAAGGAAGGGGATGGAAAAAGATATTGCTTTGATGGACCTAGTAGCTATTTAAGTCACACAGAGAAAGATAAACATTATATGAGTTCACCTATATGTGAATACTAAGGAATAAAAAGAACAAACTAATCAAAAACTGACACACAATTGCAGTAAACAATTTGGTGATGTACAGAGGGAAGGGAAGGAAGAGGGATGAGAGAATGGAGTGAAGGGTTAAAGAAGTACAAATTAGTAGCTGAAGGATGGTCTCAGGGATGCAGAGCACAGCATTGGGAATGTAGTTAGCATTAATAACCTGGCTAGGTGGAGGGCTGGGGGAGGGAGGGAGCAATAGGGATGATCGTTTTATGAAATATATATGTATGTGTGTGTGTGTGTGTGTGTGTGTGTGTGTGTGTGTGTGTCTAACAAGTGTACTGCATACTTGAAACTAAATAAAATAAATAAATTTTTAAAAAAGTTAAACTGTCACTGTTCGTGGATGACATGATATAGAGAAAACCCTAAGGACTCCATAGGAACACTACCAGAAACAATCAACAAATACAATAAAATTTCTGGATACAAAATCAATGTCCATAAATACATAGCATTCTTATACACTAATAATAAATTTTCAGAAAAAAATGTGGAAAAGCTAATTCTTTTTGCAATTGAAACAAAAAGAATGAAATACCTAAGAATAAATCTAAAGAAACATGTGAAGGAACTATATAATGATAACTATAAGACGCTATTAAAAGAAATCAAAGAATACACAATGAAATGGAAAAATATTCTATGTTCTTGGTTTGGAAAAATCAACATAGTTAAAATGACCTTATTACCTAAAGCGTAATACAAATTTAATGCAATCCCCGTCAAAATCCCATCGGCATTTTTTGAAGAAATAGAACAAAAAATCATCAGATTTGTATGGAAGCACAAAAGACACCAAATTTTCAAAGCCATCCTGAGAAAAAAGAATGAGGCTGGAGGCATCACTCTGCCCTACTTCAAACTATGCTACAAAGCAACAATCATGAAAACAGCATGGTATTGGCAGCAAAACAGACACACAGACCAATGGAACAGAATCGAGAGTCCAGAAGTAAACTCGTGTATATATGGGCAAATAAGTTTCAACAAAAAAAGCCAAAACAATACAGTGGAGAAAGGAAAGCCTCTTCAATAAATGTTGCTGGGAAAACTGGAAGGCCACCTGCAAAAGAACGAAACTACACTGTTGTCTATCACCACACACCAAAATGAACTCAAAATGTATTAAAGACCTGAATATAAGACCTTGACCAATAATATGCATAGAAGAAAACATAGGAACTAAACTCATGGATCTTGGACTTAAAGAGGATTTTATGAATTTGACCTCAAAGGCAAGAGAAGTAAAAGCTAAAATAAATGAATGGGACTACATCAAACTAAAAAGCTTCTGCTCAGCAAAAGAAACTGTCAACAAGATAAAGAGACAACCATCAGAATGGGAAAATATATTTGCAAGCAATACCTGCGATAAGAGCCTAATAACCAAAATGTACAAAGAACTCATACAATTCAATAACAACAAAAAAACAAATGATCCAGTCAAAAAATGGG